CAATCACAGCCAAGCATAACTAAAATGATAATAGGGATCGGTCAAATAAGATGAGTGAATAAATGACTGTGACTCCTCGTATGCCGACATCTACACTATTAGGTATCTTCTGTTCTATTCTTTTACTTTGAATCGAGTGGCCATCTTTTTCGTTCATCGTGTATAAATACACTTTCTTGTCGACGTTCTTGGAAGATTCTTATTTCTTTTCATTTCACACAATTTTATTTTGATATAGTCACTGTGATCCACAAAGGAGCATAAAATGATCACAAATGCGCACAAAGTGATAAATAGAGCCCTGCGGGATCATCCCGATCCGGGATAGGAGGACAAATATTTACGGGATCGGAATTAAGCTTATGAGACGGGATCGGGATCGGAGTCAAGCTTACGAACGGGTTCGGGATCGGGATTTTCTTTTTCCAATTTATTGGAGCTATGTTCTTTATCACAAAAATAAAGTAAACAAACAAAATATCAGTTTGCTTGCATATACATCATTGTGCAACATAAGTAAAAGCAATATCTCTTTAAAAGCCTACATATCAGTGTGAAAATCAAAAAGAAAATGTATGTTCAACAGCCTAAACACTGATGTACAGAGAGAAAGACAGACGGGGAGAGCCTAATTTTCTTTTCAATTCAATCGTCATCTATATCATCACTTTCAATTTGAATTTTAGATTTTTTTATTGTTACAAATAGCTGTTCATTTTCATCTAGTGGTTTTCGTTTTGACGCAGGTGTATCAACACATAATGTATGTGTTGTAAATATGTAAACTGTCTCGTTTCGTTGTAAAAAATTTCGGGATTTAACGGGATTGTAATTATGCCTATGAGACGGGAGCGGGATCGGGTCGAAAAAACTCAATCCCGCAGGGCTCTAGTGATAAAATGATCATTTTATCACTTTGTGCACATTTGTGATCATTTTATGCTCCTTTGTGAGTCACAGTGACTCGCAAGTGATTCCACTCAAACATGGTCATAAAAAAGTAAACTATGTGTTGCTGGTAAAATCTGACTGGAGTCTAATTTTGCCTATAATATATGTTTGAAACACCATTAATGTAAAACGGTACACTTTAGTACACAGTCCTTAGCTAACGG